TGAAGGCATATTTCTCATGTCCTCAATGTACTAAACGTAGATGCATTTTATTTTAGTGAATAGACATGCGGGTAAATATTAAAACATGAACATTTGTATGTGAATAACATCATTTAGAATGTGAAGTCAGTTCAGTAAACATTTTAAAAATCACACATGCATTGTTGTAGTTGTGATTTTTCTTTTTTGTATTTAAAAGGGGAAATGATTGAAACATTAGTAGTATAAAAGTAAAGAGAACTGAAATACTCAAGTTAGATGTAAACATAGTTTTTGCAGCAAATAATTGGGCAGCATGTGTATAAAACATGAAAGGTTTTTCTCAAATATCTAAATATATAAAGCCATTGATTTTACGATCCATAACCTTATTTCTCTTGGATGAACTTTTCATGCATAAAAGTGTATTTAGGAAACTTTTTTGGCCAAAATTGTATCCTTTAAGCATAAGCCAGAAAAAAAAAATATTCAACTATGTATTCCTTATTAACAGAAGCATATAATAATACTATATTCATAACTCTAAATTGGACACTTCACATTAAGTATAAAGCTGGAAATTAGAGATATGAAAAACTGTACTTCAACCTAAAACCCATATATCTTTGTCAGTGATGTTAACTGACGTTAGCTAAAACCCTCTCCTTCATTGACGAAAGTTCTCTCAGATGATGATGATAGATTTCATGGCATATAATGTGGAATAGCATAATGGTTCTCAACCTTTTTAAACGTGAGGAAAATGCCAGCTCTTAGTTCTCACTCCTGTGACTGTGGAAGAATAATAATAGAACAGTTTTTCTGTTGAAAAGAACTCGGATCACAACAGGTCAGAATATTTCTAACACTATGGATTCCTGTTTGGGGTCGCTGCATTTGTTTTCTGAATCATGTTTGTGCTCTAACAACACTAATGTTGTGTGGATCCTTGAGAGGATTTTAAGGTACCTTAGGGTGATGCAGCACCCTGGTTGAGAATTGCTGCTCTAGCAAGACATCAGATGTGTTGAAAATTACTACCACTTACTACTTTAAATACTCGTGAACCTTGCCTTCTGTTTGCAAAACTCAAACTTCGCTGAATGCTAAAGCCAAGATGATTGAGGCAAGTGGTAAACCAAAAAATGTCTTCTGCTATCCTATTTATTTTTGTTACCTTATTTTCTCTCTCCCTTATGCTATTTGTTTGTTCTGTTCCTCAGTCATTTCCAAACTTATATTTAGGCCATTAAATTCATAGGCTTTTAAGGTCTGACCCTATTATCCCGTATCTAGTTTGACCTCTTGCTGAACAGGCCACAGAATTTAACATAAACTATTTTTCAAGTCCCATAAACTGCTGTTGAATTTGATGGTATCCTTTAGGGAGAGAGACCTTCAGAGATGCCAAGGGTTGGATAATTTCCACCTCTTCTGGGAAGTTTTAATAGTTAAATACCATTTAAAATGCTGTGCTCATCTTGTATTCCTAAAGGACAGGGAATGTTAGTTCTATACAATAGCTAGCATAATAGTACCATATTCATTGACTGGGTTTTCTGCATGCTGCTATAATACAAATAATATTGGGTGAGGCAAGGGGGTTGCTCACTATATTGCCACTTCTTGAAAGGTAGTGGAACACATTTGTCATAATTGGTCTTGAAAGCTGTGTTGCTTTATAGCTTTATATTTTGGTGACTGATCTTGAAATACTTCTGTTTGCTTGTTGTGTGTCTGGGGGTTTTGGTAAATCTTCATTTGTATTCTGCCTTTTTCATTGAACTAGTTTAAATCACTTCCGAGTCTACAAATTGTTACTAAAAAGATTCCTTACTGAAGGAACAAACTAAAGCTGTATTTTCAGACCACGTGTCCACTTAATTATATGCTTAATCATTAAAGATATCTTCAAAATCCAAAGCCCAGATGAACCAGGACTATTTTGGTAAACCACATAACAAATTACATCCTTTCTCTGTTGAAATTGACTCAGCAGTAGATTTGTACTTAATTTCAGTCTACAATAATTATATCAGCCATTGCTATGGAAAAATGGTGCCGGAGTGAGAGGAAAAAAACCCATTGTTCTTGGAGTTTTTCAAATTCCTACCTTCTCTCCCTTCTCCACAGAATGAAAATAAAAAGGGCTTGGTAGAACTCTTATTGGGAGAAGTAGTTAGCTGTGGTGAGCCATATATTGAGCTAGTGAAAGGGGGTATGTTAATTTGCACCAATGAGAATGTGTTTAAATATTTTTCATTTGTCATAAAGCAGATTTTTATCATACTTTGGTTCAGCTATTTCAGTTTTGTGAACAGATAACGTATTGACGTTCTTAAAATTCTAGCTGTAAGAGATCAGAGGTAAACAGAAAGTTGCATTTCTCTTGGTGCAAGTATGTAGGTATGTATTTTATATATTTATATACAAAACTATTTTAATGATTAAAAGTATTTCTGAGAAGTAAGTAATCCTTTAACCTGCATTGCTGGGACTAAAACACTTAACTTTTTGACAGGCTTAACAGATTTGTCTGGTGTAAATATTTATCCATTATGGGATGGTCTGTTGGACCAAGCTATTGTTTTTAAAACAATATCTGTTTTTTCCTGTAGTAAGGGAGAGACCATAGATTAGCATTTTGAACCCTTTGGGTATTTTGCTGTCTTGCTCTGAAAGTCATTATTGAGTTACAAGAAATGTTATAATTGATCTATCTAAATCGGTCTGAAACTTTGTATCTGAAGTGGGCATGATTTCAGCCTGTGTTTTTCATCAGTGTGTTAAATTTTCTTAAAAGGAAAATATTGGATCCATATTTTCTTTTGAAAGTGAAACTTTTTTACTTGAAGTATGTAAAATGAACTAATGAACCCAAATACTATGGATAAAAGTCTATTAGAAATCAGTTAATTAATTTTGCAGCACATTGACCCTCCTGGAACTGAGTTGAGTTCATGTTAAGTTCATACATTCATACATGAATGCTTTTCCTTTGAAACTTTATATCATGTGGATTTCTTTTCTGACTGTTGTAGAAATGATATTACTAATGTTCATGAGACTTTACCACACTTTACCATACCTTCAGCTCTCTTGTGAAATATGAATTTTCATTTCTACCTAGGGGAACTTTTACAATCTTTGCAATCTCCTGTGCCTGATGAAGGGTTTGTGTGCCCAAAGGCTTACAAATAAAGACATTTTTGCAAATAGTTGGTCTAATAAAAGATATCACCTTGGCCACAAGTCTTGATTCCTTGAGATCAAGAAGAAATCATCTCCTAGCTGATATCAGCAAGGTTGTTGAATTTATCTACTCCTAGGACATTGTTAGCAATCCCTCGATTTGAAGGTGATCTCTATCACGGCTCATTGGTGGGTCTTGAGGTCCTGGGACACGAGTTGGAATATTTGCAGTCAGTAAACAGCAGCTGTGGGGAGGAGATTTGATTAGAAAAAGATCTGTCCTTCCTGCCCAATCACGTTCTTTTTGCCTTGCAGGGAAGCTATAATTTGTACTCCTGCTGATTAGGACTAGGTAACCATCACCCGGCAGAGACGAGTAGTGAATATAATATAGCTTTCATATCAAAGCTTGGCTTTCACCTCTGTTGCTTTTCAGTAAAGGAAAAATATTTGTGCCAAATCGGGGTTTTCTCGAAATGCTCCATAAGATCATTTCTTTTGAATGCGGAGAGAGTTCAGTTGCACCCTTTTGCTTAAACTTTGGAGACTCAATTCTTAACTTCATACATGTTATATGCATCTGGAACAGACAAAGTAATATCTTGTAGGAGTTGTAGATGAATTCATTTGTAATCTGGCTAGTCTTACAGTATTACTGTTACTACAAAGGAAGATTAAAAAACTGTTTGTGCCTGTAGTGCTCTGCATCAGAATGCTAATATATCCATTGATGGGACTGGCTGTCTCAGAACTATGGAAACGGTATAAATCATTGCTGTCAAATAGTTATCGCTTATTTCTGACTCATTTTGGAGGGTAGATGTGTAGTGACTCTGTTTTTCTGATTTGAATTATTGCAGGGTTTACATCTGAAATATGGGACATAGTAGAATAAAGGGGTTGTGCTCAGTAGGAATGTGCTATCTTTTTATAATGACCTTGCAATATATTAGCAAAATTTAGTGTTTTTCTAGCAAAAACACACCTGGTAATTCTTGTGGAACAGCTGATCTTAATTTTTCATTTGCTCATTTTGCAATGATGTGGCCATTTTGGGAATTAAAACAAATTAATTGGAGAGTGTATGTGTGTGTGCATGCGTGCGTGCAAAGTGGTGTACTGCATCTGTTGAATACTGTATACTGTTTCATTGACCAGTTAATGTTGCACAGATTTAAAAAGAAACAGCAACCTCCATCTAGGTTTTGAAAAACAAAAGTAGAAATCCCTCTTATTTTGAAGGAACTTGACATAAGGAAGGGAAATGACTTTAGTTGTCCTGAATAAAATAAAACACTTACAATACATGGTTCCCTTACTGTTTCTTGTAGGTTTACCATGTCTGCACTGACAGTTATGAGACTCAAAATCAGCACTATGGGCGAAGCTTAACAAAAGAAACTATAAAAGATGGTAAGTGAATTTGGCTGTTGCTGCATATATAAGTGCATCTTCCACATGTACCTGCTCTCTCTCTCCTGCTGTTTTCAGTACTTCTTCAGATTTTCAAGTTAAACAGCTTCTCTACGTCTTTGTGTATTGGGTGCTGCATCTACAGCAATCTCTTATGGAATTTGAACTACTCAGTGTGAATTCACCTGAGTTGTTATTGACCTGACTAGCTCTGGCAGGCCGTTGACTCCTAGACTACTAATAGGAGGCAGTTGTGGTAGACTGTAAGTGAAACGTTATATGCAAAGGTTACACTATCATGACGCAGTAGAATAATATTACAAGAGTTTTTTAAATACCACCTCACATTATACTGTGAGGTGGTATTTACATTATACTCCGGCTTGGTTGCCTTTGCCCAATAAATGCATTTATTGAAGAGAGTATCTGCTGAGTTGCTTGCAACTTTGGATTCCTTTCAGTCCCTCCCCAACAGGAGGTGAAGCCTTTCTCTCAAAAAAGAGAACTGGATGCTTGCTCCTTGAGTCAGGGCCACAGAGAACTAGGGAAGTTGAGAGACCAAAATTTCAGCTTCTCAGAGTGAGAGAAACCCTGGGCTTGCCCCTTGCTCTAGAAGCCAGACCTGGGCTAGCTTCAGTGGACTGACTCTCTGGCAATTTTATACATGCAGGTACTGTAGTGCTGGGTGCTTTGAAAAGTGCCCAGTGCTACAGTGCTTACAGTTGTATAAGCAGTGAAATGTGCATCAGTGCTGAGAAAATAGCTGCAGCATGCTTTTGAACTAAAAAGCATCGGAGGTGCTTTAGTTCAAAAGCACACCGCTGCCGTTTTCTGCCTGCTGATGCACATTTCACCACTTATACAACTGCACACAGTGCAGTGCAGTGTTCCTCAGCTTGTGTGTGGAGCAGACTCAATTGAGGCGGTGGATCTCCAGCATGTCACGGGACAAAAAAGTATGTGTATAAATGCCTTCTGAGACCAGATGAGGCAGGGCAGTCCCAAGCAAGCATTTGCCCTGGAGGACACTTTGTGATGGGCATTTTACCTTTGACAGATAATCACTTCAGTAGATCAGTTATTCACAACTAGGGTGCCATAGCATTTGAAGCCCTCCCTTACCTTGTTGCTTTTGTTGCTTAAAATTTAACTCAAAGTTACTAAAATAACCCTGACAGTGTCAGACAGGCACTGTGGTGCTGGTACATCTTAGAATAAGACATTTATTTAAAAACCAGCCTGTTCTAATCTTCATTAAGTCAATACACTGTACTGTATGTTTGTTTTTTGTTTTGTACCAGTGTACAATAATCAACACCTGTCCATTTTGCATAAAATCTGCTACAACTGATATTAACATGTCTACCTGATCAGTCTTAAAAAAAACCCAACAGCTGCCTGAATGTACCTGCTCATCCCTGAAGTGTTGGTTCTCCAACATGATTGAGGCACTTTGATAGAGTGACATGGCAGGTGGCGGGGAGGGGCAGTGGAAACCTTAATGGTGTCTGTAATATCACTTTGTAGATAATTAGTCCTTTCTTAGTGCTCTGTTCTTCTATTTACTAATTACCATGAAATTTTATCTCTCCACCTCCACAAAGCAAGTGACGTGCTAACTGTTTTTGCATAGCATGGTTCTAATTTTTAAAAATTTTAAATGTGCATCAAAAAGAATATGCCATTTGAATGGTGTTTTTGAATCTTAGTAATGCAGGAGGACTAAAGAAAGTGTTTTTTTTTTTTTTTTTGAATAGTGCTCTTCAAAAGTGATTTAAATGCACTGTAATTTTCAATTATCCTAAAACCTTTTTTATTTTTGCAGGAGTGTCCAGGTTTTTTCATAATGGATCCAGTTTGAGAAAAGATGCTATTGCTGCCAGTATTCAAAAGATTGAAAAAATCTTGGAGTGGTTTGAGAGCCAGGAGCAGCTCAACTTTTATGCAAGTTCATTGCTGTTTGTTTATGAAGGTTCATGTCAGCTGACAAACACAAGGTTGAGTGGTGGCACATTGGTAGAAAAGAGAGTTATGCCTAAGGGGCTGTTACCAGATGGAGACATACTGGAATTTAATAATAATATTAATGTAATAAATGCTACGGAGAATGGAAAAATAGAGGCCTCTGTTGGTAAAAGCTTCTCTAAAATTTATGCACTTCACAAAAATGCATACTCAAAGCGGCATCACAGTCAGATCTCACTAAAAGTTGAAAATCTGGAGCAAGACAGTGTATGGAAAAACACTTGCATTTCCCAGGAACATCTAAATGGAAACGTTCTACCCCAACTGGAAAAGGTTTTCTGCCATATGTCTGCAGAGATAAAGGAAAGTGCAGATGTAGACATCCGAATGATAGATTTTGCTCACGTGTTCCCTAGCAACACAAAGGATGATGGCTACATTTATGGTCTGAAGAATTTAATTACTGTACTTCAAAACATTTTAGATAACTAAATTCTTTGTTATGGTTTTTATTGGGGCCAATGCTAATGAAGAGCAACTACATGAAGGATTTCTGCACTTGTATGCTGTATAATTGGGTTTGTATTGTTCTATATTTTATTTGTCTTTGTACTTTTGGTAGAAGGGTTTAACTTTTTATAATCTTACTCAGGAAAATTAATTGGTAGTTAGTTTTGAAAGATAAAGATACTTAGGAAAGGTAAGCAGAGGTGGTGGATAATTGAATTAATATACTGAAACATACAGATGGGCCGAATCAAAGGCAAATTGTTATCTAATAATTAAGGCTTGAGTTGGCTCTCCATTACTGCTTTATCTTTTAGATTATTTCTATCCACTTTTATCTTGACACTGAGCCATATTTGAATTAACGGGTTTAGATTAACTGAAAAACAAGAAAGGACGAGCTGATGTTTTCAGTGTTGTCCTTGTATGTTTACCGCATTTTGAAAACTGGATAATCCCTATTTTGAGAGAAATTCCTGTTTAGATTCTGTGTTCTTACTTGGCAACCAGCATATCAAGAGGTGCTTCTCTATGAAATGGCACAATATTGCTGTATTCCTAAAAACTGGTCGAGGCTTCTGCTTTTTCATGGATAGGCTTTAATGTACATTCATAGGCTACAGTGTAATTCATGTCAGAGTTGTTGAAATGCTGGACTAGAATCATAAAACAAAGGGTTTAGTTTTATGACTAGACTAGGAAATCGTATCTACTCTGTTTTAAAAAGAAAAATCTAAAAACTCCATCTTGTTTCTAATATAAAACTCTGAAGCCTGTTCAGAAGTATGTCTTCTGAAACATGCTAGAAATTATTTTCTGGAAGGAATATCTGACACTGTGAGTAAATGGAGGGTTGGAGTGCTCCTTTCTTTTAACAATAACTTAAGCAAAATTTAACAAGAATGAAAAATTTAAAAGGCAAATTTAAAGGGAACACTTCATATTGTGATTTCCTATTCATATTGTGATTTCCTATGGTTATTTTATGAGACGCTGGGCCTGGTGTGCGCACATGTGTGGTGGTCTTTTTTTAGCAAGTGTCCAGAGTTCCACTGCAGAGTTGCCCCAGATGGAAACTGAGTAAGCTCCAGGCAGGAACAGGAGTGTTTAGAAGTGAAAGAGAGAATTCAGCTTGGAACCAGGAACACCTTCCTTCACTTCCATGGTATTTTTTTTCCATTTACACCAAGGCTAAAATTGATCTGTTTGTTACTGACAGAAGTAAATTATGTAATATGGCATCAGACCTGTATTTGTATACAGGCAAAATTAAAATATTCATATGCTGGCATTGTAACGAAATGTCTCAATTATAGTTGGTGTGCCTCTTTTCATGCTATATATGTTGCTAAGCAATATAAGATACCATGCCAAGAGGTGCTTAAAATGTGGCAAGTACTGTCAGACGTTTTAATACCTTATGTCAAAGGTGTAAAACACCCAAATTGGTTGGAATTCCATATTTATTACCATATCTAAATGTGGATTTACTGTGGCATTGTGTCTTTGCTGCTTTTTATGATGTCTTGCACTGTGTACTTGTTCGTATAAATGTATCTGCAAATTTTGTTGATTGAAATTAGGTTTTGTATTTTGGAAAGAGAGAACTGTCTTTTCCAAAAAAATATGTTAAAGATACTTATCTAATTGGAAGCAAAAATATAATAGGTCAGACTAAATTGTTTAAAATTTTAAGTTAATATTTGGTAATAAAGTGTCAACATATAAGCAGTTTACAAAGCAAGATATGTTCAAAGTTCGAAATAGGGCAAATGCTTAGAAACAGTTGCTTTGGTGGAAATGTTATGTTTAGGGGAAGGCTAAAGGATAATATTTCAACTTTTGGTGATATTTTCATTGCAGACATGAAATTGAAACTCACTGATGTATTCCTAACTCCCTGTGAACTAAATTCAGTTCTATCCTGGAAAACTTGTATGTTGTTTGCTATAGTGTTCTCATGTTTTCTGTCCTGATTTTGTTCTGTTCCTCTAGTAATTAATGCTAATTAGTTTAGCCTCATAATGGCATCTTCTTTTATAAATTCAGGAAAAAAAAAAGAAGGGAAACCACCTCTGCAGCTATATTTGAATTCTTACGTCTCAGCTCTCATTCATCTCTCCTGGGTATTAATCCATTCATGCCAGGAAAATCAGACATGGGACTCAGAGAAGCCAATTATTGGAAAAATGATCTGTGTTCTCCCAGTCAGCAATATAAGCGCATTCTCCTATCTGTACTGTAAGATATGTCTTCAGTGTTTGAATGCTTTTCTAGTGTTAAATATGCTGTGTTGATTATGGCAGGGTTTGTAATGCACTTGGAATATTGTTAAATTGTCAGTTTATTTTGAATAAAATAATCAAGTAACTATCTTTTTTTCAGCAGTAATTATTGCAGATGTATTTTTCTTACTTAAAACTAACTTGGAAGAACCTCAGATAAAAAATACTAGTAGGTGTAACTAAAAGCTTGCAGAAGTATCTTCGCATAGTATAAGCCTACAAATGTATTTCATGCAGAAATTTGGGGTGTTGGGGGGGTTGCGCATTTTAGATTATTGGCATCTTGTACAAGTCAAATCAACATTTATAAATTGTATTTGGAAATGTAATTGTGACTGATTTCAATATCTTGACTTTGGTAAACTGATTACAAAACCTAGATAGAAAAGAAGGGAGATGCTGATATGCTAGGGCCATGTTGTGGTACTGATTCTCTTTTTAGGTTTAATTCTCATGTGAATGATCCCTCTGCATTCCTTTATGAACAGTATAGACAACAGATTAAGCTACACAGATGTCTTTACTTAAATAGTAATGAAACCCTATAGTGATTTCTGCTAAACAAAACCAACAGTACCTGCCTCCTGATTGGAATATTACCTGCTCAAAATTGTGCGATTTTAAATTTGACTGTTTTTGATTTAAGCAATAAGCATTTGTTTTACTACAGTAATAATTAGTCAAAAGAGTAAAGTAATGAAAGTACTGTTTTTAAAATAGCCTTTGTATAGATGGTCATTCTAAAGACTTTTTCTCATTGGTAAACTGGGGGAACTGCGTACAAGCTTACCTAATAAGAGTTTTGTAACAAGGCATTTATATACTTGGTATTTTTGATACAGGTGGAACTTGCTGCGTAAATTCAAATGAAACTGGAAATTATTATGGCATTTTAGCCAAGATGTTTTACAAGCTAAAATGAGTGAAAAGTCCTGTGTATATGATGTTTAATTATGGGGCTTGCATTTTCAAACTGTTTGCTTCTTTAGTGAATGGTTAGACTTGTATTTTTGCTTCCACATAACATTACAATTCCATACATACTTAAACTGTTTAGTAGATTATGAACACACAACTTTTTTTTTAATTAATCAGGATAAACAGAACTAATAGCTAGAGGGCATGAACTAATGCACATTACTTTTTCTAGTAATGTCAATATGTAATGTATATCTTCAAACATGCTTTCCTTGTATACAGAGAGTTCTTACTTGACTGCAGAGGGTGTTGTGGATTATAAAGTATTCGAAAGCTGACCTTTAGCTCATTATAACAACAAAGAAAAAGGGAAGAAAAGAAAAGAAAAAAGAAGGGACTGTGCCAGAATATAAGTATTTGTTCGCAACCAAAGCTGTTTCACATCATCAAAATTTATTTATTTTTTGTCAGTTGAAGTAATATGAAGTTGAAGAGAGGAAGAAAGGGTAGCACCACTAAATGTGTCCATGCGTGCATGTCATTTTCTTTTGTAGAAACTAAGTTTAGTGGGATTTTTTTGTGACTGACCAGTTTAGTTTAAGAGCCTCCTATATAAGCAAGTCCACATCTACCATTTAAAAAAAAAAAAAAGTTGTTTGCTTATTTGTTTACACTTATTTGCAATAACCTTCCCTTTTGAGTGCCTTCACCTCCTGCTTTGGTACCATTAGTGACCTCACATACCTAACACACCTAAGATATGCACCTAATGCATCACAGTGGAATAACTTGATGAGGAATCTCTCTGTAATAAATTGATGTCTCATCTATGTAAGTAAGGTGCAGATACTGAAGAACATTGCCAAAAATGCTTTAAATAATAGTGGGAAGTGCATTGTTTACATTTGTCACCATCAAGAAATGAAATGAGATTATGATTTTGAAATATCTGGTTGGGGACTGGTTTTTAGATTTTTCTGAAGGTAGATTTATGCACATTTTAAGGAGAATGTCTCAGACCATGTTACATGAAAGAAAGTTGTTTTAATGTAATTTATATTACATTTTGGGCTTCAGCTTATTACACTAATATAGCAAGAACAATGAAGGTTCATAGTGTGCAACAAGAGGGACATATTTACTGTATCTTGCAATGTAAGTAATTACTACACCTAATGCCCAAAGGCCTTGAGGCCTATGGTATGTTACTGCTCTTTGTTAGCCATAGAATCACAGTGTTTTGTAGTAACATGTTTCTTGGGAAATACATTCCATTACAGCTTCATAGGCTTTGTGTACTGCACGTGTTGTTGCTAACAGAAAAAACAGTGAACAAAAAAACTTCCAAATGGCAAATGTTTGCAGCACTTCTGAAACTGAGCTGAAATAATTGATTTTTTTTTTTTTAATTATAGGGAAAATAATATTCAAGAACTATTTCTCCTGTAATTATTTCATAGAAATGGGCCTTGAATATTCCTGTTGGAAAGTGTTGTAGAAAGGAGATTATGCTAGGGGGTGGTAACCAGGGGCAAATACATTCTTAATTTGTATAAACCTGTTCAAGTTGATAATTGTAATGAGTTAATATTTCTAAATATGACTTGTATTGTATCTGAATATAAACATAACTGAGGTGCACAAAGGCACTTTTTAATACTCTGGGAACTGTACTGGAAGATACATGAAAGCATGTGAAATTGCACCTACAACTGTTAAATGTTGATTTCTCCCCCCCCCCCCCCCCCCTTTTTTTTTTTTAACTGCAGTTCTAAGGTTTTTTTCATATTTGATGAACGAATGTACCTAGGCTGGTCTAATTTCTTTGGTTTAAATGTCCAAATGATGTCACTATCCTTTTATTTTGTATATTTTTGGCTGTAATTCGTACTTTGTTTTTTGCCTTTATTGTTGTTTTTTTTTGGGGGGGGGTGGATATTGTTAATGTAGAATGTGTTTATTTTATAAAAAGTCTAATAAGCTCTATATCAACTTTTGTAATTTAATTTTAAGTGATATTTAGGGTAATTCTAATAGCTGTATATTTGGCAAACTATTAAAATTTTCTGCAAGTTAATTTTTGAATGGCTTCATTTTTAATATAGTTTCTTAAATATGACAACAAACAAAAATTGCACTTTATTCTTTCTGCTGCATTTGCCCATATTTAACTCGCCTTTTCCTTCATGTCAGCATACCACACAATATCAATCAATTGGAGGTTATATGCTCTCTTTGATTTAGCACTCCTACAGCCCCGGAAGGTGTTACACTTATGGTGCTATTTACCAGTGAATAAATAATTCTGCCTATGTTCAGGTAATTAATGGCATGACAAAACAAAAACTAGCCACAAAAATATTCCACAGGAATACTTTTGGCTGGCTTCATTGCACCTTAAGTTGAACATGTCAAGCTCCTTAAGGCTGCTGGCAGACATTGAGGTAGTCATGCAATTTAAGGAATTTTATGCCCAATTTCCAAAATTGTATAACCTGTCATGTCATATGTACATGACAGGTTGTACAACTGGAGAATGAAGCATAAAATTACTCAAACCCCAATTATGCTTCTGTCAGTGTGGGGTGGAGGCATCTGCACTTGGGGAACAGGAAACACTCTGCTCCCCAACTGCTCCCCTGTGAATGTGGAAACGGTGTCTGGGGAGCTGAGAGCTCCCTATTCCTAGGGTGCCACTTCCCCAGGTGCTTGGGATCTTTTAACAAGGTCAGCAATGGGGAGATTTTCCTGATCATGGGTTCTCAGTGCGCTGGCACTTTAAAAAGCAGGTGTGCAGCTGGGAGCCCCAGCTTTGTGTCTGTTTTTTGTTTTTACATTTCTGGGTGCTGTAAGCCTGACATTGAGGGGAGGCTCCCTGATGTTGGGCTCTTGCTATGGCTAGGGATGAGAGAGCTCCCCCATCTATTCTCTATTGCACAGTGCTGGTTTAAATAGCTGCTCGG